TCTTAACAATTAGGATTAATTCACAATTTCTTAGTATTAAGTAGGTATGTAAATAAATAATACTTTAATCTAACACTAACTACAGTCTACAGATATAATAAACATAAATCTAATTTTAAAACTAATATTTTAATACCCGTACTTGTGTTGTCTTCTTGCAAATTCAAAGTTGACGAAGACTCAAATAAATATTTTTTTTTAGCATACAATTTAGTATTTATACACAATACCTATATTATACTATTTGATAATTTATTAATATAATATTGGTCATTAGACGAAACGTATCGACTATCGGTACACCTTCATGATGTGAATTAATCCAATTTTGATAATAATTCTCACGATCGCCGTCTGCCTGCCCAAAAATACTTCACCGTTCGCTGGATATAAAAAGGCCATTTTCTAACTTGTAGGAAGGAAAATTAATCTGAAGCCCGAGTGTGACAAAATCAATATTACACCATTGCGACGTAAGCACGGAAAGCGTTATTTATATAATTCTGAGTGCAACGAAAAGGACATATAATTATTGATAAATATTCAATAGAAATACATCATAGTTTGGTGCAATCGTTTGTGATTCATCCCGCACCCAATGCGCAGTTTATAAAAAAGCTACCAGAATGCTCCACAATAGCAATTACATCAATACAATAATAGGTTCAATATATATAATACAGACGACAGCTGAAAAGGACTGTTATTCCCACGACGATCTTTCTAATTTTGTGTCTTATTTTATTCTATAATTCACCGAAGTTGTGACTCGTATAATATTTAATGTTTTATGTTACACAACGAACTATTGAGATCATCATGAAGGCTTAGAGTTTATTTAAATAGGTATGGTATTTCGGTCCCGTCATCTAAATTACGATAAGACCACGATTAAAACTTTGCATAATTTAATAATAATACCTATACATTATACACGTCATAATAATATTATAATCGATGATTGACGGGTTTATTATTATTTGTGGATTTTCGTAACGGTTTATCACAATATTATTATATTCACGTCGAATTCGATAGGAACTTATATTCCGACTAATAATACAAATATATAATATTGTACTATACAGACGCGTCCATCAACAGTGTATAACATTTTTATGTAAAAAATCGAAAATAACCTGCAAAGTCTCTACGGTTTATCATGACGTATCCCACTATTATGCTACTATATACATTTAATATTATTATGGTTAGTAAAATATAAAACAATATATTTTTATATAAACAAACGCATCGCCGGACGGCACGTCATTCGATGAAAAACTATACACGCCTGATTATCAACCTAGTTGGTAAAACATTATACCCATAAAGTAATGTTTATTTAAAATAAAACTTTGTTGGATTTTGGTTTTTACTTTTTATACTTTTCAAAACAACGAAAGATCTACGAACTGAACGAAGTATTTTGAATAATTTTTATCTATAATAATGCCTGTAACATTTTTAAATGATTTGTCAACCATTTAAATCCGAAATTCAGAATTTTCTAATAACATAATTTAATATTGTACTCTTTGACTTTTTTCATCGTTATCGTTAGCCCTGATTAATATGTCTTGTCGTAATTATTATAAAATGATTCAGTGTTGACAACTTTAATTTACATTAACTAGTTAATAGTTAACTAGCCAATATATCGGCACGTGAATAATAAATAATTAAATATACATAATAGTACATTTCGTACAGCCACCCATGTGCACAAATAATAATAATTACTATTCTCCAAGTACTCACGCTGGCAAATGAAGGAAACGACATGGGTAGGTATATTTTTTTTTGTATTATCTTAACGTTATTGAAATGTTTCGGCCGTTATGTGACTAACAAATGCAACAGACAACAGTGATAATATTGATCATTATATATTATATTACATATTTTTGTCCATATAATAAATACCTATATAATATATCGATTGAGTATGCATGAAAAATTTATTATAACGCATATACATATTATAATATACTAATAATAATAATACTCAGTCAATAAATGTTTGATTTAAGAGATGGTTTTAAAGTTTAACCCTAACCCTGTTAAATAGTCAATTTTTCAGAATCGATCATTCATGTGTCGTCTCCACTATAGTCCACTCTTGTTGAAATTGCAGTTTCCTGTGTTGTTTGTCTCATCGTTTGCTACTCACATAAAGTCCTGTTGGTAATAAGTTATTGAAAATTCAATTTTTTTTTTTATTCGTTTGGTAATAGTTTACACTGTTTACAGTTTTTAGTTATTTTTGTAATTATGTATTGGTACCTATACCCATTAGATTGATGTTAATTTAGTTTTTATTGTTGATGGCCGATCATGATAATATATTGATATTAATAATATGACAGTCTTAATTATTTTTTAGATTCTGAGCTTAGCGAGTACTTGGTATATTTACAGGGTATTGGTTTTACAAATAATTAAACCCAACATATTTTCAAATTATTTTTATTACCAATTTTTCAGTAACTTCAGTGTATTTTGTATTTCAGTTTGTCATTATAAGTAGAAAAATATCTCAAGAACGAGTTGCCCATGAATGTAACCCCAGAAATCAAATGGATGACCCCCCACCGGTCACAGAGATACGAAAAGCATAGCTTAAACAATCACGAAATTCAAACAAACAAGTATAATCCGAATCATGAAATAAAAAAATGAAATTGTTTTTTTGAATGATAAATAAACAATCCTTTATATGAGTAATATATTTTATAATCTTTTTAGATTCTGAGTAAAACGATGAATGTATTGATTTTACAATGATGTGTGGTTTTTAATTTTTTAATTTTTATTTTTGTGTGCTGTGTACACGATAAGTAGTCGTAAATAATGCTTTGATTTTAAACTTCAGTATCTTGTTCGATTGGAAAGTGAATATCGTTGGGGGGTCAGAATTTAAAATTCCCAGTAATTTTCAAAAGCGCCAAGAAAAACAAAGAAAAATTAAGGAAAAACGGGAATTTTTACGCAAAATCGATTTTTCACAAAATTGAATTTGATTTTTGGTGTAACTTAAAAACAAATGACCGTAGATACATGAAATTTTCACTGGTTGTTTATATTTTCATTTTCTATACACGATAACATTTTCAAAATATTTTGATTTATTTTGAACTGTTTATAGGGACATTTTCATTTTCCATTTTTTTTTAGTTTTTTTTTTTCTAAAAATATCAATAAAATTTTATTTGTTGGTTAAAAAAGCTTGAAAATTTAATAGAAGGCTCCTAGTATATTGTTTCAAAGGCAGATGAAAAATATTAAAAATCCTTAGTCACAGTTTTTTTTATAAGCATTTAAAATTTCAATTTGTATTATAGCTTAAGATCAAACATTTAAAACAAGGTTTCTCCTATAGTAATTAATATTGTATCCAAAAAATCTATAATATAATACATATCACAGTTATTTTTTTGTATTGCACTACAATAATTTAGATCTAAATTCAAAAATAATATTATACAAATGAAACATATTAAAATAATAATAAAAATAAATTTGGACAATACGTAATCTAACACATTGGCGTGTGTACTACACTATACAAACATATCACGCAACTAATTAAAAATAATATTTTTGTATTATTACATAAAAGAAAAATACGCATTATAGTATTAAACTATACACCGTTTGTGAACACTGTTGGAGAAGCTATAATTTTTACTACTTTTTGTTGAAAACAGATTTATGAAAATAGTATTAAAAAGCGAACATTAACCATATTATCAAAAAAGTGTTTTGAGAAATTTAACTTGGGTATAATTTCGAAAAAAAATAAATACAATTTAAAATATCTGACAAAATATAGTAAAAATTATCACCTTTCAAACAGTGTGTTATTATCAATTATGATTTATGATCATTAATGAGTTCGTGGAGCACTTGACATAGCAATGCATTATTTTGATTCAAAATGACAGGTGTGGCTCTTGCTCACACTGATTACGAATCACATACTTAGTGGTACACTCATAATAAACAAAATACAAATGACATACAATACACATTATACATAAACAAAGACAAAAACGAACGAATGCTATACATCAACAATGACGTGTAAACATATAGCAATGATGAGTCAATAAATATTTCATTTTGAGAGGGAGTAAGTTATATTGATTAAATAGCAATGCGGAGAGTCTGTTAATCGTCAATGCTTCCGAGTCCGGTTGAACATCGTTTTCGTCTCCACTCCTGTTGAAATTGTAGTTAATCTCGGTTTTCAGTCTCACGTTACAAAGTCACGTCTAGTATTTTTCGTAAGTAAGTTATTGCAATACTTTTTTCATTAGTTCGGTACCAGTTTACACTGTTTACAGTTTTTAGCTGTTTTAGCGACCATTATGTTGGTTGATTTGAGATGTTTGTTTTTAAGTCTCGTGGATTCTCAATAATTATTGGTTTATTATTATTTTTGTTTTATTAGAATGATTTTCTGATGTTTTAAATTTATTGTTGCCAGGATTTTATATTTTATTTATCCCGATTGAGTGTTCTGGGCTGACTAGTGCTTTTATATCTTCGCCAGATATTGTATGAGGGTATTATCATTGCATTGTATTTTGGTTTAATTATATCAATAGGTACTATCAGATACTGCTTCATGTTAGATGTATTCAATACTGTTTGAATAAATCCTACACACTTTCTATGTATTTTTCAGTATCTCGTGTCCTGGATTTGATTTATAAGATTAAAAGAATTAGGGTAAAAATTAACAAATAACAATCTGGTTTTCTAGTTACCGTATTTACGCTTTGTTAGTATTGGAATCGGTTTTATAATAATATAAAATCATTACCTTTAATGTATAAAAAATACTTTTAATATTACATCTAAAATCAATGGTATAGGTAATATTGAGCGATTATTGGTTTTAAAAATAATTAAAACCACCATTATTTTTATGAAATTTATTGACTAAACCAGTTTTGTTGTAATAATAATATATTTTGTACTTCAGATTTATTATGGATCACAGAACATCATCTCAAGATAAATTTGCGGACATGTTTGATCCTATTATTTCGAAGAGTGGTTTTGCAGACATGCGCAATCCTCAAATTTCGGAAAGTGGTTTTGCGGACATGCGCAATCCTCAAATTTCGAAGAATGCTTTTGTGGACATGCGTAATCCTCAAATTTCGAAGAATGGTTTTGCGGACATGCGCAATCCTCAAATTTCGAAGAATGCTTTTGTGGACATGCGCAATACTCATATTTCGAAAAATAGAGTTGGAAATCCACCCTCATATCAGGAAGGAAAGGAAAAGCATGTTGTGAAAAATCATTCTGATCAGGAAAACAAAAAATAAGTGGACATTTTTACCAAAACCATAACATTATTTTTTTTTTTTCCAACAATGAATAAACTTTTTCACATCTACGTATTTTTTTGATCAACAATAGATTAAATGTGTTAGTATTTATTTGAAATACAACGGACGTAAAATTGTAATGATACCTATTTCAAACAATCCAGCAAGATTTACAGGTCTTAAAATTAGTTTTAGTACATCTTAGTAAATATTAAATGTGAATAATCTTTCTATCTCTCTCGTATTAAACTGTAGTTGTTTAGTTCTCTGACATTGTGATAAGTTTGAAAATCAACTAGACGTCTACAAAAGCATATATTTAGCATATAACAACTAAATTAAAAAAACCTTCACGGCTAGCAGTCGATTTTCATTTGCACTGAAAAGGAATATTTGAAGGACTACTAAAGAAAGCTTAAATGTAATTTATTTAAATGTGTGTAAGTTCTAAGTTCTGTGGTGGATTAAAGCGGGAAACTAACGTGTTCAGAAGTAATGAATTTAACCTTGATTAGGGTATTTTCAAAAACATTAAACGTAAATAATAAATAAACCAATTCGCCATTATTATTTATTTTTGTTATTTTTCTTGTTTTCCATATTTTTGTAAAAAAAATCAAATCAAATAAACTATCCAAAACTATATAACATTGTATTACATTCATTATTTTAATTTTAATTTGTTTGCTGTGATAAAATAAATTGATGGTACACTTAAATAAGTATTACAACTTAAATATTCTTACACAACCATACAGTTCGCATTGAACAAGTTAGTTTAAACCTTCTTCCTCGTGTCACTATTTAGTGTATTTACAAACATGTATACTATGTACATTGTACACATTATTATCTCCGATTACAAGATATAACAGACAAAAATGCAAAGTTATGCAAGCTTTTGGCCAAGATATGCAAATCTATGCAAAATAAAATCACACCATTTCATTTGTAAACTGTAAACTGTATATATTACTAAATACTTATTAATACTGTTTTTGACCGAAAAGCGTATTACATGATATACTGATAACCATAATATACATAAATCTTAAAATTGTTGATGACTTGAGACTGGTCATTTATGTAAAGAAATGTAAAATATAAAGAATATGATGTTTTTATTCTCTAAAAATCCATATAAATACTTTATTTTTATGAGCATTATGACGTATCAGAAATAAAAATAAAAAATGTTGGTAAAACAAAATATTTAATAATTTATTTAGTGTAATAGTATATTTGAAAGATGTATTACAAAATATATTTTTCCTTAATATCAAAATAAATACATTATGAGTGTAAACGCATTGATACTTTTGTTCTAACTTATGATGTCCATTGGTTCAATAAAAACTTTTAAGTTAAACATATTTTGGGCAAATTAAATTTATATTAATAACTTTACTAACTATAGACTTATTATTAAAGGATTAAACTAAATAAAATTTAATTAAATAAGTAAATTTTTACAAATTTATATAGTTTGTATTGTTTGTAAATTGTAAATAATCACATTGAACAGTAAACTAACAGTACAATAGTTAAATATTATTGTTACCCATATTATTATATGTTATGGAAACTTTCTACAGACGGAACTGTCACTAATTTGTGGCTTATTTTGTCAAGCTATTTACATACATTAATTTCACTCAACTCATACACTTATTGTACCTACAGGTACAGACTGTGTGTATACAATAAAGGGCTCTAAAGGTCGTCTATACGTATTGCCGTATTGGAGTTAAAATGTTTCCTACCACAGATCTCAAGACAAATTAAGATACCTACGTCCTACACCTTAGATAAATGGTAGGTACTTAATTCGTACCACAAAATTCACGTTTACCTAACACCAAATACCCACAAATTTGTGTTTATTTAATTTTTAATGATTTTTTCAAAAATTATTTTAGTTACCTATGAAAATAATAAATTATGTTTTCTTATAACACAGATTAGTACAAAATGTTCTTTAATATCAAAATATGTATTTAAATGCAGTAAAATATGCTATAGGTTCAATCAATATTTTATCGAATAAAGACATATAAAGGATAGCTTACCCAAATAAAGATGCAATATTTAACTCAGAAAAAAACTTAAAAATCTAGTCACAGTTAAAAACTAAAATCAAAATTTGCATTAGCCTTGAGAAAGACGCTTAGTTATGGAATAGTCGTTGCTAATATTAAAAAAAAAATAACATGACTTTACACAAAATATATAGTTACTGAAAATTACATCAAATGATACTAGTTTATGTTATCATTGATTAAAATGCTCTTGAAAATTTGCTTCATTTTAAGTTTTTATATTTATTTTATAGGCCAAACGTATCTAATTATTTAAAAAAAAAATACAATTAAAGGTATATTAAAATATAATAGATCATTTTGATTATTCATACTTATTGATGTGTTATAAATATAATTAAAAAAATATGTAAAACATGTTAAATGAGATGACTAGTTAAGCTACGAACAGTACGAATAATATGAAGTTCAATTGAACCTTACCCAACTTGATTTCATTGATGAAGTCAATAATTTTCTTGAACTTCAAAAAATTAACCTTATAGAGAACTATTTAAAATGTAGTTGATGCACTAAAAGAATTTATGTCATCATTGTATGTACATAAAAATTGTATGCCATTAAAACGCACTTAACTTTAAATGTTAAAACAACAAGTACTAGGTCTAGACATAGGGGCCTCCTGATGCATTCGATTATTAAAAACTTTATAAAACGCTATATATTATTATTTATTGTTATTGCCCCTATTGATGATAAATAATAATTGTCGGCTGTAAAGTTTTTGAGAAATGGTTGATTTTGTAAACTACACCACAATAATACAGTATGTAACCAAACCCGTTATCATCTATTACATTATGTACACAATATAATATAATAATATAATGTATTGCCTTTTAAAAGTTTGTTTATTTATAACATTTTTTAGCAGGAACTTTTTGTTTTGTAAAAGCGCGACGATAAGAAATATAGTTACCACGTTATTTCACAGTATAATAAATTGTAATAGTTACAAGTTGTTACATTGATACTACTAGGCAAGTATACAGGAAATAAATTAAGATAAACCTACAAACAGTTATTTAAAAAAAAATCAAATTAATTAACGAAGTAATACTTAATTAATATTTGACATATATTTTAGTTAAAGAAAAACGACCAAAAAGAGATACAACTACCATAAAATAATTTGAAAATATTTTTTGTTGGTGTCTAAAATTGTTCTTCGACGTTTTACATATTTTCAAAAAATATCAGAGGCATTTCTGGACCCCAAAGACTTCTCCTTGGATATGACCTTTATTATACTTTTTTTTGTAATTTATTATACATTCACAACCTGTAAAAATTAGAATCACTCGAAAGAGTTTTCCTATATAATTTCGAGATTATTAATCAACGACCAATTGTATTTAAAATTATGTTGAAAATATTTTTAAATCCATACTAATATACAAAGCTGTAGAGTTTGTTTGTTTGAACGCTCTAATCTAAGAAACTACTGGTTCGAATTGAAAAATAATGTTTTTGTTGGATAGTCCATTCATCGAGGAAGGCTATGGGCTATATAACATCACGCTAAAAGAAACCTGGCGAAGTGCTCAAACAGGGATTTTGAGATTTACGATAGAAATATTTGTTTATAAATGGTTGCTATTGGTTATAGGAGAAATAATTAATAGAAATAGTATTTATTTGTTATTTGTTAATCGGGCAGATCAGGTACAAGCATGGTCAAATCGAATTTTCGTACATTGCCTACCAGGGTGGCTGAGTTGCACTTACTGCAGTGAGTTAAACCAAAAGGAGTTGAACAATTACAATTTTTTTTTAAGCATTGTCATTTTTTACGGTCCATATTATATATAAATGAATGTTTGTCTGCAGATCTCTGGGAAGAAGATAGGCTAATTTAAAAAGAGTTAAATTTGGATTTTTTATTCATCGGATTTTAGTACGGCTAGGTTAGGTTATTATTATGTATTAATTGATTACATTAATCCACCGTATTATATCAAAATAAACTTGGTATAACTTTGATACTTTAGAGTTAAATCATACCCATACGTACAAAGTACAAACAGCACTGGGTCCGCGATCCACCGCAGGTAGATTGCCTACCTGATAATATATTGCTGTGAAACAGAATTTTTATTCAAAGCAACAGAAAAGACCCATTCAGTCCCCTTGTACACGCATTTTTATATAAATGCATAGTAGTATTATTATTTTATATTATCACTGTATACAATGTACATTCTTCATAAAAGTTATAATTTTAAAATAAAATCAATTGACAAATATTAGACAGTTACAATTGTAGAAAGTTGAACTATTATACATTCATGAATTTTCTTTAAAAATTGCTTTCCAATAAAACAATTTGAACAGTTTAATAGCAATAAGGAAATAAAATGTTATCAAAGACAATACATATTGATATCATAAAGGCATAATGGCATAGTCGTTAAAGAGTTTCGATCAAAAGTGCGGGGAAGCTGTTCTAAGTTTATTATATAATACTGCAGTTGCAGTATACAAATTCTAAGTCAAACTATTAATAAAATAGTTTACTTTTTTGACTGGAATGGATTCTTTTAAAATTATAAGGAGGCGTGTTTCAAAAGTCAGATCTTTATTGTTCAAACGACAAATACTATAACAGCATAAGATTTTCCGGCATTTTAAAAAACGACGATACCGTACGAGGATGGTAATAAAAATCTATACTATATAGTTGACTTTTTTAAGATTAGCTAGTATACACTAAATACATCTATAAATCAAACTCTTGGGTATTTTTAATGAGTTTCTCGAAAAGTATAGATAAATACAGTTTTCTAGTTAAGTTTCTTTTGCCTTCACATAGCTCACATCAGTAGCACTGTGCACGTATTTTCTAGTTATATACCATAGTGGTGCACTGCTCGCAGGTTGCAAGTGAAAACCACTTTC